TTAAAATGGTTAATTATTGTAGTAAGAAATATTATATATATATATATATATATATATATATTATATATATATAATATATATATAATATATATTATAATATATATATATATATATATGTATAATCATGTCATATAATTTTTCTTCGTTTGGAAGGTTCATTAATTTCTCAAGCGAACTTTAATTAATTACTTATCGTCTTTATTTGTTTTTTACTTTTTCTGAACGTGGACCAGTTTAACTCAGTACAAAGTACAAACATTAAAACATTAAAAATATTTATAATTTATCTTAATAACAACAAAATAAAAATCACAATCGACAGCTAACTAACAAGGACCATAAGTCATAACCAACACTTCCCTTTCATGACAAATATTTTCTATAAATATGAATTATATTATTTTTATTAAAAAATAAATATATGTTATGATCAACCATTACGTAAATAATTATCTTGTTTCAATTTTTAGTACAAAATAATTAACATAAACGTTTTGGATGTTTGTGTATATTCTCAACGTAAAACAAAATTTTAACGGAGAAATAACGTACCGTGAAGAAGCCAGAACAAGTTGCCGTTAGTCATGTAATCGTAGACAAGCAATTTTTCATCTTTTGCAAAATAATAAGCTTTCAAACTAACGACGTTAGGATGCCGTAAACTCCCTAAAACCTCCATCTGCTGTTCAAATTCACGTTTACCACCAGTCACCACCTCCTTCAGCCGCTTAACCGCCACCACATGCCCGTCATCCAACACCGCCTTGTACGCCGTCCCTAACCCACCTTTACCCAACATCTCCGCCGACGCTCTCAACAAATCCTCCAGTTCAAACCTCCTCGCTCCATCAAAAAACACCATTCTACCCTTCTCAAACGAACTCACCGGCGGAGTTGGGTACACTGTCTTCTCCACTTGCTGAACGTTCTTCGTCTCGTTTGTCGATTCTTCGCCGGATTTCTGACAGAAGTAGCAGTACAGTAGTAACGACACTAATGCCAGTACCAAAACATCTCCGATTATAATGGCTATAACGGCGAGAGTACTTATCTTGTTATTTCCAGATTTTTTATTACCAGGCACTGCCGCAGTCCAAGGCAGGGAGGTCGGAGATGACGACACATCAGAGGGTATTTCGGGTTCCTTGCATCGGAGAAGTGGGAATCCGCATAAAACCGGGTTGTTTAAGAAAACGGAATCGGAGAACCCCGAAAGACTTGCAGGTATTTCGCCGGAAACGTTGTTCATTGAAATATTGAAGTCCTGTAAACTCGATAAATTCAGAAACCGAATCGAACCCGAAAACTGGTTTTCCTCTAGACGTAAAGTCAACAATTGAGTCAAACGATTGAGTGTAGCCGGGATTCTACCGGAGAGGTTGTTATGGGACAGATCGAGACGGAATAGAGAGGGTAACAATGGCGGGAACTCGCCGGAGATCTGATTATAAGATAGGAAAAGCAGTTTCAGAGAATTGAGATTGGAGAGATCGGGAATGGGACCGACAAGACGGTTGCGTTTCAGAGAGAGGACACGAAGCTTAACGAGGGAGGTGAGTGAGTCGAATCGTCCATGTAGATTAAGGTCTTCAAGGACGAGTCCGGTGACTCGGTTATGGAGGCATGAGACGCCGTAGAAACCTGAGGACCTGTCACATGGGTCCGATGAGTTTTTCCAGGAGGAGAGCTTGTTTGAGATGTCTGAGGACGATTTGAACGACAGTAATGGAGCTAGGTCTGGGTGGTTGCTAGGTGGCGGAGTGGCATGGAGGAGAGAGAGGTGGAGAAGGAAGAAGAAGAAGAAGAGGAAGATAGATAGTATGGTATGCAGATGCGACGGCGGTGGTGCCGCCATTGTTCCGTGTGAGAGAGAACCGGCAGAGGGAAGTGGAAGGTGTATATGTACGGCGGAGAATGGTAACGACAATTGGTTATATTAACGGTGATGCTCCATCGTTGTCCTATATGTCACCTTTGGACATTTATGTTCTTCTATTTGGTCCATGAACATCATCGATTCTTTTATCATTTTTGAAGTAAAGTAAAAGCTTTTTAAACAGTTCAATTTAATAAAACTATTTTTTAAATAAACACTTAAGTGCTATAAAAGATTAGTTAGTTCATTAATCACCAAATTTTTATTTAATTCAAAACCCTAATTATAAGTTTTAAACTTAGATTTTGAAAATAAATTCATAAAAATAAAATTAGTTGCATTTATATTTTTAACATGTAGTTAATCTTTTTGTAACCGTTTTCATATGATGGTATTTTTACAAGGCTTTCAAGTTCGGGGGTTGGGGTTGGGGTAGGATGGGTTTTAGAAGTTTACAAGACTACATTTATTCTAGTTGGCATCCCTAAATATGAATCAATCAACTATTAATTTGATTTGCATTATAACTAAAGTACATAATGAATTAGGTATGATTATTAGAGCATTTTCTGAGGTTAAATATTAATTATCAACCTTAAATCTAGCATTTTACCATTGAAGTGAACTGCTTTTACGATCAATAATACAAAAAAGGGGGGAAGAAGAAGATGTTAGATTCTACTAAATGTTTTTTTAAGATTTATGTTTAGTACAGTTAACCTCATTTAATTAATAATGTTTCAGAGTTGAAGAATTGGTTAGTTTGGTATTTTCCTCCAGCTTTTCGTTTTAAATTTATAAAAGTATCTGTTTTAACATTTTGTTAGCATTTTTATGTGATATTCGCTATTTTAATAGAGTTCACGTAATTCTTCAAATTTAAAGCATTTAGGTTTATTATCGACCTTTTTTGTTCAAAAAAAAAATGGCATGCTTGGCATTAATAATGTACTTGCAATTGAATTTAGCTAACCAGGAACGAAAAAGAGGCATTGTTTTTTTTAAATTTTGATCGAATAAGTTTAGGAGGGTCCAAGCTAATTATCATATACATATTTGGACCCAAAAAAGTGAAAGCCTGTCTTTTATAATAAATTACACTAGTACATGACTAACAACAAAGACCAAAAACTGAAAAACACCAAATTGGATCTATTGAAAATCTTCTCGTTTCATGATCTTTCAAAACGTTGTTAATTAAGACTAGTTTAAGCATGTGCATTTTCAAATAAGTTAGATATTTGGCAAAATAAATCCGTACTCAATCTAAAATATATCATCGCATATACTTATACGATTATACCCAACAATCCTCTTACGCTTGTATAATATCAGTAACAACTAATATCCAAAGTTTAAATCAGTAAACAAACAACCAAAAAATTATATTTTTCAAATTCGATTATTTGAATATATGAATAATCTTTTTCTCTCTTTCCACCTTTTTCTTTTCCTTTTTCTTTCTCAAAATCGTATATTGTCTCCATGTCCAAATGGCTTTATTGATATTATAAAATCTCTATTTGCTTTTATTAACGAAAACAAACTTATATTTGACTCTTCTTCCTCCCTAGAGCTTTCATCAATATACCAAAAACACACACAAATATATATATATATATAATATATATATATATATATATATATATATATATATATATATATATATATATATATATATATATATATATATATATATATATATATTACAAAAATGCATAAAAAATATACTTAGAGATCATAATTTTTTTTTTTTTTTAAGTTTATATTCTTAAAAATCGCAGATTATATTATAAATTCACTGATTTTTTTTTATATAAAAACCAAAAAAATAAATAAAATAAGATAAAAACTCGATTTTTTAACTTTTTTTTAGCGAATAAAAATGGCAGCTTTTTCTTCAAATTCAATTTTTTAATTTTTTTTTTTTACTTTATAGGTACAAAAATCGCAGCTTTTTCTTCAAATTTGCTGAATTTTTTTTTTTTTGAAAAAATACAAAAAAAAAAAGAAAAACGATTTTTTTTCAGTGATTTTGTAAAAATATTTGCGATTTTTTGGTAAAAAAAGTCAAAGAAAATATTTGCGATTTTCTTTAGGGTTTGCACCTTATTTAAAGGACTTTATGTCCTTCTCCTAGCCTCTTATTCCCCAAGAGAGTTACAGAAAACCCTAATTTCGTGTGAGGCTTCATTATTGAGGAGATTGGAGCTTGGAAGAGGAAATTGGTGGGAAAGAGCTTGAGGATTTAAAGGCTTGCTGCAAAGGAGTGGTGTAAATCCAGGATCTAATTCAGTTGGAGCTTATATTGGAGGTAATAATCTGTTGCTTGGGTTCTTTTGCATCTAGATCTATTATCATTTGAAGTTTTGGGGCATTTTTGGTATGATTAAGAGCTATTTCGAGTTAGAGGCTTAGATATGAGGTTGCTACTTCAGATCTAGGCTTGTGATGGTCCATAATGTCATAAAGTTTCAGTCATTGAGTTGTTGGTGAAGCCCCTTTGTCCAAAACCCAAGCCCTAGTGTGTTTTGGGCCTAAATCTCCATGGTTTCACGTCAAGTTTGCAACTTTATGTGAGGGTTAGATTGTAGAAAGGTGGATCTATGGATTTAAGCCTCTGCATGGAGCGAATAGCTTCTGAATGGGTTGAGAACTAGAGAGACTCGGCGAGTTACATGGGTGTACTCGACGAGTTGTATGAACATGTGCATGGACTCGGCGAGTTGGAAGAACAACTCGGCGAGTCTGTTAAAGATTGCTTTGGACTCGATGAGTTTGTACTTGGACTTGGCGAGTCTGGTCATAGAACCCAACCTCTTTTGGTTAAATCCTTGAATTAAGTGAGTCGGTTGGCGACTCAGTAAGTCGGACAGGATGGAACTCAGAGATCGTTGGACTCGACGAGTCTTGGGGCGACTCGGCATGTTAAGTTGTGTAATGAGAGTTTTCTGGGTATGGGAACTCAGCGAGTCGACGGGGTGACTCAGCGAGTAGAGTCAACCAGGAAGGTTGACTTTGAGTGAGGACTTTGACTTTGACCAAGAGTTGACCAGTTTGACTCCCAATGGTATTTTGGTATTTATGGAATTCGTTCTTTGGTAGTGTTCTGTGGTGGGGTTGTGTCGGTGGTCGGAGCAGCTTGGTCTTATCTCTTCAGTCGGCAATTTCAGGTGAGTTATCCTCACTATATTGACAGGGTTTATGGCACCAAGGTCGGTCCTTTATCGGTTAGAAATCCGGGAGCTTGTTATGTTATTGCTTTGCTAGATCTGCATCCTGGTATTTAGGATGGCGTTATGTGAGTGACTTGGTTAAGGTCGGTACCCGATATATAAGATAATGTTATGCTAGTGACCGGTTCGGTTGGAATCCTGGTTAGGATGTTGATATGCAATGTGATTTGATAGACTTTTGTCTCGTTAAGGATTTGTTATGTAATTAATTGTTTTATGTGCACATGGTTGTTTGACGGGGGTTCAGGTTGAGGTGGGTCCTGGTTTGTGCTGTAGGCCAACATACCCAGGGCGGACTGGATATTCCGAAGGCCCAGCGAGCGGTCCGGATAGGCTGAAGGCCCCAAGAGGGCAGACCAGACGTGCCAAGGCTCGGAGAGTGGACCAGGCCGACTGAAGGCCCGGTGCAGGCAGACCAGTCATATTGTAGACTCAGAGAGTGGAACAGGTGGATTGAAGGCCCAGTGCGGGCGAACCAATCACACTGTAGACTCGATATACATGGCTAGACTCGGAGGGTGGACCAGGTGGACTAAAGGCCTGGTGCAGCGGACCAGTCTTACAGTAGACCCGATGTGCATGGCTGTTCTATTTGTGCTATGTTATGAGTATGTTTATGTGTGGTTGGTATTTTGGGGGTAATTCACTAAGCTTTTAGGCTTACAGTTCAGTGTTTTGTTTCAGGTACTTCAGGAGATCGTAGCAAGGCGAAGGCGTGATCGTATCGCTTCTCATGTTTTATGATTTATGTGATATGGTTCTGGGGAAATACTCTGATGTTTAAACTATTTTGAAAACGAATGTATGAACTTAACGGTTTTTTAATGAATTAAAATGTTTTAATTTGGCTCGAATTTTATGTTCGTTATATTTTTAACCTCTTTTCATATTGATATTCGAAAAATAATAATAGTAATTTTTTTCTATGAAAAATGCGCACTATATATGCATATTTTTCATTAAAATTTTCATTTTTGTAATAAAAAAAAAAATTACGATTCAAATTTTATATCAACATCCAAGTTAATGATTTAAAATTAGTTATAGATAATGATTTAAAAATTACGTCCAAATCTGATTTCGTATGAGGAAGTTATGATTTTTCTAAGATTTAGTATAATAGTGTAAAGCCCGAAATTCGAATTTTAGATCGGATAATTTTTAACCAAAAAAAGTCTAAACGAGAAATGAAGAGATCGTTAATAGGAATTCAATAATAAAAAGACAGTAAAAAAATGGAGCTTGTATGCGAAAGATATGGACGAAACTTAGTCCCTACTCTTCGATCACGACAAATTCGATATAAATTTGTAAATTCGAGATAGAATAAGAATTAGCTGATGGAGTCTAAACGAAAGGTGTATTACTCACAAATACCAATGCGTGGATATATAGAACGTCGAGAATAGAGTTCGTATGTTAAAGATATGGACGGAACTTGGTCCCTACTCTATGAGCGCGATAAATTTGATACCATTTTGTAAATCTGAGATAGAATGAGAATTAGCTGACGGCGTCTAAATGAAAGTTGTAGTACTCATAAATATCAACACATGGATATAAAGAACTTTGAACAAGTTATAACTTTTAATAACACATTTATGTATTAAAATAATGTAACATCGTAAATTTCAAAACAAAATTTTCAAATTTTATAAAACATATTTCACTTAATATTCGTAAAACGACCATATTTGAAATTCAATCCAAGTAATACGAAAATCCCAAGATCTTAAAATCATA